GCTATCATTATCATTGTTAAATATGTAATATTATCAATACAGGTTTTTCAAGAGGTTTGGTGGTAAAGAGAAAGAAAATTTATCTTTTTCCTCTTAAAATAGGAAGACCTAAGCACATTATAGAGATAGGAGACAAACATCCAGAAAGAAAAACTGAAAATGCTAGAGTAAAGGAATCATTTACGAAGGACCTCAGTCTTTTTCTTTAAAATATCATGAGGATTTAAGAGACATAATTTAAAAGGACACTTTGGCTAAAAGGTATAAGATAGAATTAAATATAACTTTGAATACATATAACACACACACTTTTACATTTCTTCTTCTACAGAATGCATTTTCCTTTAATACCTATGAGACTTTAAAATATTTAGCTTCTCTTTTAGAAATCTAATTTCCACGGGGAAATGATACTAGCAGATGTCTATAGATCAACATGAGAAAATGTCTAAATATTGAGAGAAAAGAAACATGTTATAAAATAGTTTTAGATAGATATTTCTGTATGTATAGAAAAGGTTAATATTAATAGCAATTGGACTTTTTACTTTACATTCCATCTTTATAGAGCAATTATTATGTTTCAGACACAAAGGATCTACATACATAAAGAGGTAATACGCTAATTGGTCCTGTGTCCCAGACATGACCGTTCAACAGGCTGTGTGCACACAGGAGCTGGTGGGCAGGGATGGGCCTGGTGAGCCACTAGGACATGAGCCTGCCCACCGCGCTGCCTGGTCCAGACGGGAGGCATCAGGACTGACCATGGCGCGCCATCTCCCCCTCCCTCCGAGAGGGGTGGGGGCGTCAGGATGGGAGTGGGGCCTCAGTGGAGAGCTCTCAGCACATCTGTGCTGTAGTCTGAAAGTGCAGAGAGGAACGAAGAGCAGATGGGCAGTTAGGGGGTTTAAGCCAGAAGGGGAGTGCAGATAGGCAGTTAGGGAGACCAGGCCAGGAAGGGAGAGCAGATAGGCAGTTAGGGAGATCAGACAAAGAGGGGAGAGCAGTTGGGGGATCTGGCCGGCAGGGGAGAGCAGTTAGGAACATCAGGTTGGCAGGGGAGCAGTTAGGGGCATCAGGCAGGCAGGTGAGCACTTAGAAGCCAGTGGTTCTGGATTCGAGAGGGATCCCTGATTAGAGAGGGTGCAGGCCAGGCTGAGGGACAACCCCCCCCTCCCCCCAAGCATGAATTTCATGCACTGGGCCTCTAGTTAAAGAATAATCAAAAAGGAAATTTAATATTCAATGTGCAATGGAATGTTCTCATTTCAATTCAATTTGCCCTAAAAAAGGAACAGAATTCAGATCTATAAAGCCAATCTGCACTCTATCATTAAACACATCCTTTCTGTCAGTGAAATGAGTACTACCACAAAGAGTCAATTTCACAAAGATTTCTGGAAAGTTTATCAGTTTAGAAAACAAGTTATATAAAACCAAAATAAATTCATTTATTTAAAAACTATTACACATTTCTAAGAAAACAGAAAATAACTGTCCAACTGTCAAATAACTGAAAGTACCTTATCAGTTAAAACACGAAGAAATAATTCCTTAAGAAACCATTCTCCTTTTCATTTTCTTTATTATTCCATAATACCATCTCACAGGGCCAAATATTCCTAAAATTGAAAGTTATAGACAAAACCCACAAATTTAAGCTTTATACCAATGTCAAAGTCACCAAAAAATGGGAACCATTTTTACAGGGAAATACAACATACTTGGGCCTACCTCATTCTGAAAGGGGCACTGAGAAGAGATGATACAAGAAAAAGAAGATTCACTACCATTAACACGAGAATCATGATGCTGACTATGTATTCTGTTTCTATCCTATAATTCTCTCTATATATACATTAATCTAAACATCAAACAATTGCTGAAAACCGTTTGGCTCAGTGGTAGTGCATCAGTCTGCGGACTGAAAAGTCCTAGGTTCGATTCTGGTCAAGGGCATGTACATTGGTTGTGGGCACATCCCCAGTAGGGGGTGTGCAAGAGGCAGCTGGTCGATGTTTCTCTCTCATCGACGTTTCTAGCTCTCTATCCCTGGAGGACAAGGAGTATGTGAGGACCAGGGTATGTGACAGGAGGTGATGTTACGGGGAAGGGTTAAGATTAAAACTAAAATCCAACAGGAACCATCATCACTCAGTACCCTTCACCTTTCTGCAGCTTCTTATTCACCCAGTTAAAGAGAGAAAGGAAAAACAAAAATGATGGAAATAAGGGAGAGCTGAGAATTACTGTATACCTACTAATCCGCCCTTTTACCTTTCTGCAGCTTTTTATTCCTCCAGGTGAAGAGAGAATAAGGAAAAAAACAAAAACAATGGAAACAAGAGAAAGGTGAGAACTATTAAACATCTACTGCACCCCAAGCATTGCAAAGTATTATTGCATTTAATATTCCTACAGTACAGAGGATGATTTTGAAGTCTGGGCAGGGTCAACTTTCAGCAAGTAAGTCCTAGAGCGGCGATGAGAACCAAGTAAGCGATTTAAAACATGTGCTCAAAATGTTTCTCACATCACTCAACCTTTCTAGTAACAGTAATAGCAGTTACTGTCCCAGCATACAATCCTTTTATTTTCTTTTATTTAAAGAAAAACCTTTTCATTATGGAAATTTTAAAAATCCTTTATAACAAAAGGCTAATATGCAAATCAACTGGCTGGCAGAACAACCAGTCACCATGACACACTGACCACCGCTCAAGGCAGGAGCTGCCCCCTGGTGGTCAGTGCACTCCCACAGGGGAGAGCCGCTCCACCACAAGCTAGGCTCACGGCTAGTGAGTGCAGCGGCGGTGGCAAGAGCCTCTCCCACCTCTGGGGTAGCACTAAGGGTGTCCAAGTGCGGGGGAGTGGGGCCTAAGCCATCAGCCAAGAGCTGCCAGACTGCCAGGCTGGGCTGAGGGACACCCCTCCAATGCATGAATTTTCATGCACCGGGCCTCTAGCATACATACAAAAGTAGAGAGAGGAGTGTGTAACAACTCTAATGTGCCCATGGCTCAGCTTCACCTATATGTCATTCTTGTGTCACCTACCTTTTTTTCTCCCTGAAATATTTAAAAGCCAATTTAAGACATTTCATTTGACTTCAGAATATTTCTAAAACAATTTTATCTTTAAATAACACTATCACACCAAAAAACAATCATTCTTGACTATTACTGAATGTCCAATTCCTCTTAAAATATCTCTAATTACCTTAAAAATATCTTTTTGCAGTTGGTTAGCTTAAATCAAGATACAAACAAGATATACACATTACTTTTGGAGATGTAGCTCAATAAAGGGTGGGGCAAAAGTAGATTAAGAGTTGAGTACAAGATTTTATTCTTGTATTATTATTTATTCATTATTATCTTATTTTCCATACAAACAACTATAAACCTACTTTTACCCCACCCTGAATATGACAGTTCCTTCTACATCCTCCCCTTTCCTTTCATAACTGGCATTTCTATACAGGCAAACTTCAAAGATATTGCGGGTTTAGTTTCAGTCCACTGCAACAATGCAGGAATCACAAAGTAAGTCACAATCTTTTTGCTAGTAGAGGTTCTTGCTTTCAATTTGTAATAAAATGCAACCTACATGAAGGGCAGTAAAGCAAGGTATGCCTACACAGACTTTCCGGTTGATAGCCTGTGTTTCTCTAGCTCCTTTCTTCCCTTAAACTGCTGTGGGCTTGATTGCACTGTGGTTCACCTTTCTTCATTGTTGTTGCAGGATTGCTCAGGTGGTGCTGTTTACTGCATCACCTCAGGAGGCATTTGATATCCACTTGTCCTCTATTCGTGTTACAGTAATAGTGTTTCTAAATCACTGGGTATTTTCATTCCTAAAAGCTTATTGGATACCACATATTCACGGCAATGTGCACGTGGTGATCAAGCTACGAGGTTAATCCAGAGTTAACTGAGAGGCAACAGAAGTTATCAACTAATGGTCAAAGAAGCAGGGAAGGAATAGTTCCTTTAGTAGATAAGAGGTCAAAAAGTAGAGAAGGATTTGACTACAGATGGAGAGGAAGGCAGAGGACAAATAAGATGCTCAAAGAACAAGATACTGGGTTCCAATTACGGATCTAAAAGATACTTTACACACTTGTACCAATAAATGTTTCCAAGTAAATTCAGAAAACCCAAGAATGCTTTGTTAGTTTACTAAACAATCTTATAAAGTGCTGCTCTCTAAACCAAAAGTTCCTAACTAGATTACAAAGTAGATTATCCTTGGAATTTTAAAATACTGAGGCATGGCTCCCACCCAATCAATTCTGATTCAATGGGTCTAAGGCAGTTTGCAGCTCTATTGACAATGAGTTTGCCGACCACGTTGAGGACCAGGTAGTATTTAAACAGTAGTATTCAAAAGTCTTTCCAGGTGACTCAAATATGTAGCTGTAATTGAGAACCACTGCTCTTAGCTAAGGTTAACAATAGCAGCAATATTTACTATGCATGTGTTGCATGTTACATATTGTTCTAAGTACTTTAAATGTATGAGTTTATTTTCTATTTTACAAGTGAGGAAACAGAGAGGTCAGGTAACTTGCCCACAGTCACAGAGCAAGCTAACAGCAGAGTTAGGATTAAATATCAAGAAGTTTGGATCAAAGCCCTTGTTCTTAATGACCATGATATACTGCCTAAGCATGAATTATACTTGTATTCTTTAAATGCAAATAAAATGATCAAAGAAAAAAAAATTAGATAATTAACTTTCTTCTTCTTAGAAATATTACAGTGGCATTTTGTTGCACGGGTAGGAACACAGGCTTGTTACAAAAGTAAATAAACAAACAGATAAATATTGTCTCTTCCCAAAAGATTCAAATTTTTGAGATTCACACATGCTTTTAATAATTTCTCACATATTATCCATACAACAGTTATTTAATTGTAAATATAAAAAATTGCTTTAGTTGTAAAACTCAGGCAATAATGTATTACATATACATTTATAAGAAAATGTCCTACCTATTTCAGTTCTGCTAACTCCAATTCCATTATAAATTCTCAAGTAATTTAAGTGACAAGAATCAGAATCTTCAATGTCAAAGTCACCAAATTTGATGCGCAATCTTTCTCCCATCTTTACACGAATCTCCCATTCACAAACGGTGCTGTTGGGATAGGTCTGTGGGTAGTTTATGGACATAAGGGTTCCACTTTCAGGGCCTAGTACAGTGTGTCCACATCCATCACCTTTAAAAAGAATTAAAAGAACAATAAATTATTTTTACATCTTCAACTTAAACTGTAAATACATAGGATTTTAAAAAATGCATTCTATTATATATTTTATACCACCAATACTTTCTTTACACAAGATAAAAAAGATGACACAGTTTTTAGGATATCTACATACAGGAGCCAAGAGAAGCCAGGTTAGGTAAAAATAATCAATAATTAACTTTATAATTTTTTAGTTCAATGGACCTTCAATCTGAATTAGAAGTATATACATGTCATAAATCCAAACTTTAAGAATGTCAATTCAGCCGAAACCGGTATGGCTCAATGGATAGAGCGTCGGCTTGGGGACTGAAAGGTCCCAAGTTCGATTCTGATCAAGGGCATATCCCCAGTAGGGGGTGTGCAAAGGCAGCTGATCGATGACTCTCTTTCATCGATGTTTCTAACTCTCTATCTCTCTCCCTTCCACTCTGTACATTAAAAAAAAAGGAAAAAAATGTCAATTCATAATTATTTAAAGTAATTGTAAACTATAAAAATAAAAGTATATGACTAGCTTTATCTATTCATTTACAAATATCACAAACCTCTTCTAAAATCTGTGAGATGAATGATTTCTGAAAGTACTGAACATATACTAAAAGAAATGCAATCACTGATTATATGACACCCTGCAAGGCTCGCCTTCTTGAAGGCATTAAAGCACTATTTATTGAAGTTTAATTTTATATTCTACTGAAATTTGACTTTTTAGTAACTCCTCTGCAAAAGCTTGTTCCCTACAAAATGATGAGAAAATGCTTATTTAAAGATTAGGGAAATAATGCTATCTTGGTAGTAGCATTTGTTCTAGAAATTTCTTCAGAAATTGGATATGAAAACTCAGGTAACTTAATATATTGTTTGTAAAAATAAAATATGTACATCCTTCCCTTTCTTATGAAATGTATTATTTTACTGGGCAGGGGACATACATTATTGATGAAATGGTTTCAGCTGTTGCACCAATTGTATAGTTTAGCATTCCTTAATGACAGGATTCAAATACATTCTTTTTAATAGGAATACATCCTTTTAAAATGACAGTATTTTCCCCTTCAAAAGAACTATTGATAATCATTGTTTGGAATGATTTGGTGCTTGCAGAAAAAAACAAAACAAAAAACAACAACAACAAAAAACCAATATTGAAAGTGACACCGCTGAGTTTTAATCTTAATATGGATAGAGATGGCTGTCATAGAATGTTCTGCTATCTTGCCATTATCTTGAATTATTATTTTTACTATAAATGTAGAAGTGGTATCATTTACTAGAACAGATGAAAGCTTTAAAGGCCTATGAATAAGAACTTAACACAGTATCTAGCAAGAGTAGTTGCAAAGTAAAATTTTATTAATGTTTATTAACCTCCTAGAGGCCCGATATACAAAATTCATGACAGAGTAGCCCGTCCTTCCTCTGGCTGCAAGCCCTGGCTTCCCTCTGGCACCCAGGACTCAGCCTTGGCTCGCAGCCCTGACTTCATCCAGAAAGTCGTCCAGAAGGATGTCCGGTCTAATTAGAATATTACTTTTTTTTTTATTACTGATAAATTAAATAATTTCAATCTAGTCTCAAAACTTCATTTAATGTAGAACCAACAGCACTGGACCTAGATTCTGATGACTATGCTTCAAATCCTTTGTTGATAAATAGTTTTTATTCTCAAACCCATATGATTACTGTTACTTAGCTACTTTTAAAGGTTAGTCAGTATTTGCAATCTGGCTTCCTAAATAAATCTCTCTTATAAAGCTTAGTTTTGAATCAATGTGAAACTTTATTTATCTTCTACACCTCCTTTCATCCTATATTTAAGAACTAGGCATAGCAGCTCAAGAATATAATGATGCATAAAGGCACCATAAAATAAACATATAGATTTTTGTGTGATACACCCACTGAAATTTTACAAATATAAATCTTAGAATGTGATATAAATCAGAGGGGAAAAAAAAACACACAAATTTTTCCTGAAACTATCATGAAAATACCTTGAATATCTCTGTGGAAATTATCTAAATTGGAAACACAAGGATAAAAAAACCCACACTGTGAAAATAAATGAATTATAATATAAATAACTTTTGAACAATCATTAACATTTTTCCTTAGAGAAAAAAAAAAAGCAACTATCCTAAGATAGAGTTTCTAACATGAAACTAGTCTGAAATGTTCTCTTACCATTGAAAAGATAAATACATGCTTTCTGGAAGTGTTTTGGTCTTTAAAATGTAGCCATTGAATAAATGAAGTAACTCAAAATATAAATTTTTTTTTTTTTTAAGTAAACAGAAACTAAGGCAGCTTTTTCCATGACTGGAAGTGTTGATGGATTTCAGAAAGCCAAGAAGTTCCTATTAACAGCTGAATTCTTGAATTAGTAATGGCAGGTTGCTGCATTTAATGTATTCCCCATAGATTGTTACTTAAGGTTGTGATTTTAAAATGGATTTTACAGAAAGTATAAGCAGTGTGTTAGTAGTAATTTTTGTCTTTATGTGCATATTTATGTTTGAGTCTCAATAATACACAAAACATTTCTTGTCCCCTCCTCTATACAGCATATACTTTCTACACAAATTAACACAATAAATACTACTTGATGAAAAACAGGACGTTAGTGTGCACGCTGATGAAGAAAACAATTAAATGGCGCTGTCCTTTTTCAGTTATCTTATGTAGGGAGAGGGCACTAGCAGTCCACAAGTACTGTGCCAAGAATGTTTTAAAATATGTGATGGAGTTCAGAGCTTCCTCCTCTTGCAAACAAGATGATATGCACCAGAAACCAAAGTTAAAAAGTCTTAAATCTACTGCAATGAACAAGCTTGAATGTTGCATTATTTCAAAAGACTACTTGGTAAGTTTAACCTGACTAGATAAATACTACTAACTTAGCTGGCCAGGTTAAACACCTACTGCTGAAGTATGTTTAGAATATTCTAGTTAGAAAGGGAATGCTGGGCTTATACTCACTAGGCCAGTTTTCAAATGCTTTTCTCTGTTATTTTACATTGTTACTGTGACTCTCAACATTCTAGCAAGTACAGGGTCTTGACTCTATTCTTGACTCACTAAAGATTCCCAACCTTGTACTGTCTGGAAAAACAAACAAACAACAACACTGCACTAGGCATCCATAGGTCATAATGTTCAACTCTACAATCAAAGAAAGATCTTGACCTCACTTTTACCCCCAAATTAGAAAATGTGCTCTCAGGTTATTTTTTACAATGCTTAAAAGTAAAGCCTACTCTATACCAAAATACTTAAAATGTGACAAAATATTAAAAAGTAAAACCAAAACCTGGAAATATTCTTTATCAACAAATCACCAATATACAGGGAGGGGCAAAAGTAGGTTTACAGTTGTAAGAGAAACATAGTTTATTCTTGTATTATTGTTTTTGCCTCACCCTATACTTAGAGCAGTGGTTCTGACCTGGAGTGGAGAGAGGCTGCCACAGGAGTGACTGTACCTCTCACTTGGCAAATGTCTCAAGACATTTCTGGTTGTCACAACCAGAGGGTGGGGTGCTAGTATGTAGAGGCCAGGGATGCTGCTAAAACATCTTACAATGCACAGGACACAGGGCAGCCCTGACTTAGAGCAAAGATTAGAAGATCTGGGTTAGTTCTTGGCTGGGTTTCATTTGACCCAAGGGTTTTGCTGTTCTATTTGCTATGCGTACAACCCAGGAATAGTTTCCCCTCAGAGGTCAGCAGTTATACTAAAGAGTTTTATGTTTCCACTTTCCAATTTTTCAAATAAATAACTGGAATGCTTTGTTTTTCTTTAAGATAAAGGGGAAAAAATTCTTTTTATTAGTTTACAACCCTCAAATGATTTTTTTCTGTTGCTAATGAGGTCATGAGTAATAAATAGTCACTGAATTTTCTGCTTAGCTTGTACAGTGGGAAGAGTAATGATCTATGGCCAGGCTGTATTATCTACTCTTAGTCATTTCACAAGGTAGAAATGACAAAAAGAGCATCACTACTCCTGGAAGCATAGTTTCCCAAATGGATATCATAGGAGCAATCCATACACTCTCATCAACAATTCCAATACCTCCAACTCCATCACCACCACCACCAACACCTCCTGTCAACTTCTCCTCCTTCTCTAGAAAACTGTAACTGACCATAAAGGTAGAAGTTTGATAATGTAATTTCTGAATTTTATTTTAGTGGAGAAAAAAACATTGGAATTTGATCTTACTGCTCCTTTACTTGGCTGCAAATTTAACCAGGGGATTACTCACAGCACATGTGTTCACTTCCTCTGAAGAAAGTAAGGTCAGATGTGTTAAGCCAGATACAAATTTTGATATTGTTCCAGAAAAATAACTGAATATTTTTTTTTTACTTCTGATCCCCAGAGAAACCAAAAAGAACATTAAACACATTTAAATGACAATGAATTAATACAACAAAGAACACATGGCTTATTTTAAGCTGCTTTAAACTTTGAATTGACTGAGGTTTTTTTGATAAACATGTGTTCGTGATGCTGATTTCATGTGACCCTCCAACCACCCCCATATATTAGTCACATAACTACTAATAAATAATATAAATTCTTATTTGTTGAATTATGTTAATATGAACATGGTGTACCTTCTAAAAATACTTTAACAATAGCAAATACAAATGCAGAAAGCTTGCACAAATGTCAAAACTGTAGAGCAATGTAACTTTCATTAGAGTCACTGTAAACTATGAAAGATTTATACTTTTCCAGTGGGCGTTCAAGAATTTCTTTACCACTGTGAACTAGTACATCTGATTTCACTTCCTCTAAGTAAGCGTCACTTCTGTTACGTTGAAAAAGAGACAATTAGAGAATAGAAAGGTTTTCAAAAGAATAACTTCCAAGTCTTAACTAATATATTCTTTTTTATTTGACTAAAAATGAAGTCTTTTAATGCATTACTTAGCACCATGAAATTTTAGGCCAGAAA